ATGTCCACGTTTTATCGTTATGCGTCTGTCTCATCTTCAGGATCAGCAATGAAGAACGGACTCGTCCTCATGCCATTAAACGCATTGAGCTCCGAAAGCTCCGTCGTCCCATGCAACACCTCATACTTGTTCATATCGCCACACCCGCTCGCAACGTTGACGCACTCAGTAGTCAGCTGTCCCGCAATGCGTTGTCCCACTTCGCGACCTTCATACCACGCTCCATGGAGGAAACCCCAGTACTCCGTACTCATAGCCTCACCCGCGAAAAACAATCTTCCCACATTCGCGCGCAGGTTCTGATGCATCTCGAGCGTTGTGCCAACAGGCCAGTTTGAGTAAGAGCCGTACGACCATGGCGTTTGAGTCCAGCGCGGGTACGTAAACGCAATAGGTTCCGGGATCATGACATTGGGAAACATCTTGCGGAGGACATCCATGCCCTCTGCTTTGGTAGCCTCGTCATCTTGCGCCTCGACGCGGTACGATTGCTCGTCTACGAGCGTAGCGAAGATAATGTTCGAGCCGGGATAGTAGTCTTCGGTTGAAAGACTTTGCCAGACGGTCCAGTAGCCTCGGTTCGTTGGATCTGCGTAGAGGAGAAATTGCTTGTCGTCTGGCCAGAAGGTTTCGTTGAATTGGAAGAAGATCTTTGTGTATGTGCCAAAAGCGAAAGTGGCAATGGCAGATTGCTTCCATTCTGGTAGCTCGGGCTCGAAGGTAATGACTTCATTCTGTAGAACGCCGAGAGATACGGTAGAAATGGCATAATCGGCCTCTACGCAGGAGCCGTCCGAGGTAGTGATGTGTACACCAGTGTCCGAGTGGCTAATGTTTGTCACGATAGTGTTGAGAAGGAGACGTGGGTCATTTTGTTGGAGAAATTTGGACGCCTGATGTTTGAGCCATGTGCTGAAGCCTCGAGGGTCAGCGGAGACTGTAGAACCACTGAAATTAGTAAATTTTCCGATGCGTGCATTTGGAAGAGGACTTACATTTGCTCTCCTCGGAAAACCCATAATATGTCAAGTTCCATCCCGTGATTCCGTATACGAAGCCAGATTCCTCAGGTGTCTGTGTAACAAGATCATAAATTAGCATATTTTCGATATCTAAGAATTATGCTGAGAGCATACCTGCGCTGTCTCCCAATCCCAAAGATAGTATTCTACTGCCTTGCGCATGGGGTCACCCTTTGGTCGCCATCCGCTCTGCCAAAAGCCCGCGCGGGCACTTCTGTCCTGTAGGTTTTCTGAAAGTATCGTCCCAGCCCTCTGCTCAAAGCTACTCCAGGTCTCTTCGAACTCATCAAGGATCCCGGTGAAATCGACAGCCCCAGTCTCATTGTAGGTAGTAATGGAAAAAGCATCAGAATCGGGACTCGCCAAATTGACCTGCTTTGAAAACGTCCAGACTGGGTTTTCTGGGCCGTTTTTGGCGTTTTCGCCTAATCCTGAGATCCAATTTGCGCCGAGCTCGACCGTGTATGGGTTGCCGCTGGGGTCTGAGCCAAATTTGGTGTTTAGCATGCGGCCTCCAATTCGATCCTGGTACTCGAGGATGAGAAAGTCAGAGACCGATTGATTAGATAGTGCTTGTTAGTGAGAATTCAGTATGATGGTACAATTTTTGACATATTAGATACTGTGTCGGATAACGACTGTATTCAAAAAGGCATACTCACAGCTGCTGTTATGCCGGCAACGCCTCCTCCTCTGATAAGGTCAGTCGCTGAATTCGCGTAGTAGATACAATCCATCATACATGATTGCTACTTTGGTTCTTCTGCATGTGCTGTTAGAGTCGCGTCCGTGAATTATTGGCGCAGCGCGAGCCAGAGCTGGTGTCAGCCCGATAGCTACTAGGAGACTCTTCACGCACACCATGATACCGGAGACTTGAAAGATAGCTTGTTCAATTGCAAAAAGGTTCCACGGCTAAGGCGCCTTGCCAGATACTTAAACTACCATCCGGAAAACTATGATAGGGTACCATTGGCACGGTGGTTAACAACCGGTTTAGCTTCTGTGAAATCATCCTACGAAGCTACGCGACTGGACTTGACACTATATATTCCAATCGGATACGAAGAACGTGGATGCTGCCTTGTTGTGGGGTTGCCCTCGTCCCGGTCTTAGACGATCTGCAGATGTCGAGCGGGAGCATGTGTGTGACATGGACTAGCCTTGAAATAGTAGGTGGTGAAGAGTCACGCAAACTTGTTGAACGTGCACGGTGGTGTTGATAACTATCATCCCATGTCTAGTGGTACGGTCATGATGTCAAACCACAGAAGCTGACTTGAACGTACCAACCGTTGACAAGCTCATGTCTTCGAAGCTTGACTTTTCGCGCCATTTCTAGCGTTTGCATTTAGTTTGTCTCTGCAGTAGTAGAAGCTATGTTTATGACATGGAATTCAATGACAAGAATTGTGGGTCACTATCACGTCGCGTTACAAGGGTTACGGCTGGGCTGCGCGGGATGCGCAGGGATTTTTCAGACGGCACGATGTCCGCGGGCGGGGCTTCTTGATAATCACCCCACACATGATTGCTCTTTTCTGAATCCATACCTCCTGCACCCCTCTCCCAATTCATCTCTCTGTACTACATTGCAAATCTTACCTTTAAAACAAAGTACGGCATTGCAGCCATGATGCAACCAAGTAGCAGAATGTCGCCCGATCAAGGTAACCTCAGGTAACACAATGCATGAGACCGGTGTTCGCTGTTGTTTCCTTTGTGAACGGCAGCGATCTGAGATATACGGTCTGAACTTGATCAGGTTAAAGCCTGCGAAAGGACTCATGCTTTGCTCCCTTCTCAAGCTGGAGGCTACTGCTAATGGCTCTAGGTCGGTGCCATGAACTCCATCGCGAAGCCACACGATGAGAAAGCGCCAGATGCGCCGGGCGCAAGCAGTTCACCATTGACTCACGATATCGAGCGCCAGGATCATACACGCTATGCACAATGGCAAAAGACATGGAAAACATTCGAGAGTCAGCTTGTAGCATACAATCTCGAGGCCCGCGGCATCCAGCGCGTCGAGCCCCACGAACGTCATGACTTGCGCCTTTTGGGTTATTCACAGGTCGCAATCATGTGGTTTAGTGTCAACTTGGCAGCGAACAACATCACACTGGGCATGCTTGGCCCTGCCGTTTTCGCCCTCGGATTCACAGACGCCTGTCTATTGAGTGTCTTCGGTGCACTGGTTGGTTGCCTTGTAGTCGCCTATGTCGCCACATTTGGTCCTAAGAGCGGTAACCGTACCATGATCTTCTCGCGGTACATTACGGGTTGGTGGCCATCCAAAATCATTGTGTTACTCAACATCATCGTACTGCTCGGATATGGCATGATCGACTGTGTAGTAGCAGGTCAAATCCTCTCCGCTGTCTCGACAAATTCCATGTCTGTCGTGGTCGGCATCATCATCGTGGCCGTCATTGCTTGGGCAATTACCACATTCGGATACCAGACATTTCACTATTACGAGCGCTGGGCTTGGCTGCCGCAGCTCGTGGTGCTCTGCATATTGGCGGGCGTTGCAGGCCCGCGATTCGACATATCTTCCGAGTCTCATGGCGACGAAAATCCAAATACCATCATCGGGAATCGCATCAGCTTCTTTGGCCTTACTCTTGCAGCGGCGATCACGTATGGTGGTGGTGCGGCCGACTACTTTGTTTACTATCCTGAACATGCATCGTCTCTAAGCATCTTCAGTATGACCATGATTGGCCTCATGTGTAGTTTTACATTTGCTTTTGTTCTAGGGATTGGGCTGGCATCCGGAATGTCGAACAATGCAGACTGGGAAGCATCGTACGGAGTATCGCAGGGTGCGCTCATTGTGGAGGGATACAAGCCTCTCGGCGCATTTGGCTCTTTTTGTGGCGTGATTGTCGCTTTGGGACTCGTCGCCAACCTCATTGTACCAACATACTCTTCTGGAATCGATGCACAAATCCTCGGCCGTTACGCTGCTGCCATACCAAGAGTGATCTGGAATACCGTTGGCGTCATCATCTTTACAGTCTGCGCACTGGCAGGACGTGCGCATCTCGCGGAAATCTTTACCAACTTTCTGGCCCTTATGGGCTATTGGGTGTCTATCTGGATTGCCATTATCCTAGAGGAGCATTTGATCTTCCGGCGTAAGACCGGGTTCAACTGGGAAGTATGGAACCAGAAGAAGAAGCTGCCATTGGGCATTGCAGCGTTGGTTGCCTTTGTCATCGGTTGGATTGGCGCCATCATGTGCATGGCACAAGTCTGGTATATTGGGCCCATCGCCAAACAAGTTGGAACCCACGGTGCTGATGTATGTGAAATACATGTGCAAACTTTGGTAACTCATACTAACACTCTCTAGATGGGTAACTTTGTCGGTTTCGCATGGGCTTCGGTCGTGTATCCGCCGCTCAGGATGTGGGAGCTTAAGCGATTTGGCAGATGATTAGCTATATGATACAAAAGCTACCAAAGCCATTCCCAAGACGCATGGAAAAGATCATAGCGGCCAATCGAACACCTGGCAGTTTTACTACATGAGACTTCTCAGTAGATTGCGTAGCAGCATATATATAGAGCACATGCTTGTATTTAAGAATTGAATTTATTCATTGTTATCTCTCTCTCTCTCTCACTGATCATATTCCGATGTGCCATCATTAGAAGAGAAATCATAGATTGGAAACAGTGATCGGGAACTTTGAAGGAACTAGAAAAATATATACTTGAATTCACATACCTCAGACACGAGATTCTCGTATCACATATATCGATATCCATAAGCTCTTGGAAAGCTTTGCAAAGGCTACCCCATTATACGGATGCACATGTATAGTAGCCTGCATAATACAAATCCATGTAGCCCCCATCTTCCCGTAACTCCGCTATTAAGACGTATACGGAAACCCCTTTAAAAGTAGCTACCCGAGTTATCCCTTTTTCACTCACGCAGTACCATCTCTAACAACTGTATGTTCTTCACCATTGAGGCCTCTCTTTTGGGAGGATAAGCCAGCCCTGCGAGTCATGTGAGAGTTTGCATGGTGCAAGAGGACAATCACCCAGCTTGTGCTTCATTGAGCACCTCCAACGCCCGCACGATACGTCACGTTCGGTACAGCTGCGGCATCTCGCCTCACTGTCGCACTCCAGATTGTTGGCGTAGCACTCGGAGCATGCAACCACCCTCTTTGGTAGCTCAGCATGCATGTGCGGCCTGACAAGATGCGCAGCGCCCTGTAACAACTGGCCACTCTGTGTATTATTGAGACGCTCCTCAGAGATCCGAAGTTCTCGTTCGACAGTCTTCAGCTGGTCGCGTTGGCGGTCACAAAGACTGGTCTTCTCGCGAAGTTTGGCTTGGAGATCTTCATTATCTTCTCCCAGATTAATCTTATTGAGGCCTTCTTCCACAAGCTTTTGACGTAGCTCGAGATTGGCTTCTTTGAACCTCGCAAGATGATCGGTAAGCTTTTGGATGCGGGTTTGGTAATCTTGCGCGCAGGTAGCGGCTTGCAAGGCTTCATCTCGTTCACGAGCTAGTTTCGCGACAGTGCTGCGCAGAAAATCACGCTCCCCTACCACCTGTCAGTTTGATGGAAGCAAACGTCATGAAGATATCCAGTCTTACTAGCCGCTTCTTCCAAGTCCTTGAGCTCAGCCTCTAATTCTGTCATTCTCCGAGCCAGTCTATCAAAATCTAGCTGTTGAGTCTTGATCCTCATCTCCTTCTCAGCCAAGAGTCGGCACATCGATGCTTTTTGGTCTTTGTTAACCTCATTTTGGTATTTGAGCCTGCATAACTGCGACCCACCATCGTCCTCCGTTCTTTGGATTTCTTCGTCGCTTTGCTCGGGAGCTAGAGTGTGGCGTCCGAGCATTGGTATGTGTTCCTCTAGTCGAGGTGTTTGAAGAGATTCATTAGATGTTGGTGACTCAACTGATACCACACGTGGAAGCGGCTCGATGTCTGAGGGATACGCTAGGTCACTACTCGAAGATGTAGTTGACTGCACCTCGTGCGAACGTGCACTCTCGTCTCCACGGCCGAGACCAACTTTGTCACCCACTTGATTTTCTTGCTTCTCAAGAAATTCAGCGACAGTCTCGGGCGCAGTAAAGGACTTCGTCGAGCGGGAAAAAGATCGATCTGCATCAAGAACACGGTCTGTAGAATGCGAGCCTATAGTATTTTAGCATGTGGTTGTACAGTTGTTTGTTGCTAATTACTGTTTGGTCTGGCAGGGGGCGACAGGCGTGGAGTCAGATTTGGAGTGGCAGTATACGGTTTCTTCTCTTTCATCAAACGTGCAAGTTCAAAGAAGCTGTCGTGATGAATGTTTTTGATAGGCTTTTCGGTAGACGGAGTCATGTCGAAGGAGCTATCAACAGTATTCAAGGAGGCGGTAGGGGCGGCGATATTGTTATGAAGGCTACTGCTATCTTCGTCCATGGTGATGATACTGGCAGTCTTGTATGAGAAGACAACAAGAGGGTGAGAAGGATAGACCGGGTCTTTTGGGTACCTTTTCGTTCTCAGGTAGGGAGGGTAAGTGAGAGACAGGGAAGCGAGAGATAGAGTGAGAGACGGGGAAATGAGAGATGGAGTGAGAGAGAGAGACGTGGAAGTGAGAGAGACGTGGAAGTGAGAGAGACGTGGAAGTGAGAGAGACGTGGAAGTGAGAGAGACGTGGAAGTGAGAGAGAGAGAGAGGACGCAGTCACCGCTTCGCCAAGGCAGTCCTGCAAACGTTGGGGAAGGAGCGGCATGTCAGTCTCACACTAGCCAACTAGAGTAC